CTTTAGCCGTTTCCTGTTAAAACAATAGTTTTTTTCCTTTGGGATTTAATTAAATGTTTGTTTCTGTGAAAACTGAATGTGACTGAGAGGAAAAGGCTTTTCTGATGATTTCCTCCTTCTGCATCATGGAGCTCAGCCTCGGCTCTCTGCTGCCCTCTGGTGGTCATTTAGAGTTTTTCCTAAAAGTCCCAAACATGTGATGCTTTCAGTTATATTTATTGATTTCTTTGATGTCATCAGAAGTGTAACAACTGATCTATTGGTTCTACATCTGTATAGATCCTCATCTCTATCCAGTCGGCTTTTCTTGGTTTTATTCTGTATTGCTGATCTATTGATTGTTTCTTCCTTTCCAATGTTTAGACTTTCACTCCACAGTGGAATGGCCTTGTTCAGCATCTATGTTGTTACTGACTGTAGCTCTATTTTTGTCAGCCATGTTCAAACCCGGTGAGGCTCAGGGAGGTTTAACCCTTTAGGCTGTGGAACAGGGAGGCGTTTTCAGCAGGGTTAGGGTTAACCGCCTCCCTCTGATGGTGTTTCTGTTGCTGTCATCTAAATATTTCCTTCATCATAACAAACCTGCTCTGGTTCTTCTGCAGATCTGGAAGCTCAGCTGGAGGAACAGAAAAAGCAGCAGCAGGTTCGAGCCCTGCTCTCCTCCCCTCAGACAGCCAAAAACAAACCCGCCACCAAGCGGCCAACCAAGCGGCCCCGCCTCCAGAGGCCCGCCTCCACAACCACCCTGCTGACGTCGCCCGTCAGCCAACAGGCCGCCCTGCAGCCCCAGCAGTTCACCGTCCTGTCCCCCATCTCGCTGTCCTCTGTGGGGCAGCCGTTCACCGTGGCTGGGCTGCCCATCGCCTCCTTAGCCCAGTCCTCCAGCACCGTCACCCTGCTGCCCGCCGGCTCCCAGATCTTCACCCGCTACATGGTTGCTGGAGATGGAAAGAGCGACGCCATCACTCTGCACCCGTCATCCGGCCTCACGCTGGTGGGCACCACTGCTGTTCAGGACTCCAGCCAGCTAGGTACGGTGGTCAGCCCGGTGGAGCTGCTCCATCTCAGCCAGCATGCCGCCGGTGCAGAGATGGTGCCAATCGAGGGCCAGGTAGTGGATGGAACCATGCTGGTGCAGCAGGAGGTGCTCCAGGGGGAGCTAGAGTCCAACCAGGAGCACACGGTTATCGAGATCAACCCCAGCCCTGTAGAGCAGACGGTGGGCATGATGGAGCTGCAGCTGGCCGAGGAGCCCGGCCGGGACGCCACCGCCATGGTGGTCCAGAGCGGGATCGAGGTTACCATGGCGACAGAGGACTCACAGTGCCAAATGCAAGAGGCTCAGACTGAGGGGGTTCAGGGGCTGCAGCTGGATGCTAACGGACAGTTATCAGGCGTGCAAATCGTGGTGATCGAGGAAAATACTCAGGAAGAGAAGAAGGCGGAATAAAGCTAGCGGCGTTTTCTGCAGAAACAGGAAGCTGAACGTTTCTGCTCCGCCTCCTCTGGATCTGTCTGGTTCATACTGGTTTGGTTGTTTTTCTTCTGCCTTTGGTCAAACAAAAAACATCTAACAGGTTGTTGAGTCCTCAGAAAGTCTTGGCCAGAGAGAAGCCTCAGTGGGTGAGAGTCATTGCTGTGCAGGAAACCCAGGAAGCAGGGATGTAATAACAAGCAGCCTTTGGTAGACATGTATATAGAAGAGGTGCTTCATGTAGAGCAGGAGGACAGAGTAACATCTGGCAGGAGGAACCTGACTGGGACACCCAGGATTAACAATAACCTTTGGCCTGTCAGGATCACACCACCCTGCTGGTCACTGGATGCCTGACCCCCTACTGGTTCCATCCCAGCACAGATCCGCATGCCAGGCTATTCCCTCTGGTTGCCTCATTAAATCTGTTCATCAATAACTTCAAGTTCTGCATCTGAATTCTTGCAGATTTATCACTGATTGGATTAAAAAGATCACTGATGTGTCTGAAGTTAGCAGCGTTTTTCCTTCCAGACCCTTTGATCCAATAAGCTGTGGATTCAGGATGTTGCTCTGCTCGCCGTTGGCCTCTTTAGCTGTTGCTGTTGATGAGCCGCCTGTGGTGTTTCCAGTCCGGTTCAGCTCCTCAGGGACTGGTTCAGAATGTGGCCCAGCTTTGCCTCACCTTCTCAACCTCATTTTTTCTCATGTTATTGGATTTTCTGAGCTCTCTGGCCGACTGTTAGCTTAGAAACTAAAACACATCCCTGATGTTCAACTGCCTGTAAATGACTGATATATTTATTAGTTTGGAAAGCGTAGAGGTCTGGCCTTTTTGATGTGCAAATATGGAGGAATTAATTTAAGTTCTTTGATACAGTGTGCACCAACAGATACCTGTTCAATCATTTAATTTAAAAAAGAGCGTTTAAATACTGAATTTGTAATGTGTTTTAATATCCGATTAAAGGAGAGAAAGAAGCTAAAGGTGCTGTTTTTATGTCCCACCACCAGGAGGCACTGTGTTCAGGGCCAGACTGAGAAAAGGCATCTCCTTCATGGGTTTTATCTATGGAGAGATATTTGTGCCATCGGTTTGAGCGCGCAGGAACCAATCCGAGCGCAGAGAGACAGCAGGCGCGCGCAAAACCGCTCTGGCACGCGCTCAACTCTGAAACACCCTCTCTACACAGCTGCGTGAAGCGGACACCCCACCCACGTCAAAAAACTCTGCAAATAGACTGAATGGTTAGTGCAACGTTAGTGCAGAAAAAAATATTGTTTGTGCTACTTTTGTTTAAGAGATATAAAAGATTATTTTTTAGGTCATCCAGAGGTCACCATCCCCCCATTAAACTCCGATTTAAACCAAAGAGGTCTCCTTTTTTAGTGCTTCATTTGTGCTGATTTGTGCCGTTAAAACGGTTTGTGCTGCTTGCATGTCCCATTCAAACTATATTCTCTATACTTGCAGGTGATGATCACAACCGACATTTATTACACAACTAATTTCACCTGCTGCTGTTTTTGTTTCAGGCCTTTTTATCCTGTAAATTCTTGTCAGTAATTTAGTCTGGGACTAAAGTAAATGATATCTCACTGCCAACACTGGAAAGAAGGGAAGTCTTTTTAAAATCTGCACTAATGTTGCACTAACCATTCAGTCTATTTGCAGAGTTTTTTGACGTGGGTGGGGTGTCAGCTTCACGCAGCTTCTCAACACACTGTTCTGGCGCTCAGTTTCATCTCTGCTCACGCTCGACCTGCTCTCTCTCCACGCTCAACATTAGCTGTTCGCTCGGCTCTCTGCGCTCGCAGCTTCAGCAATGTAAATGAACCAAACCATCAGCCAATCACACTCAGCTTCTGTTCATCCAATGAAAGCATTCCTTCCTCCTTCCTTCTTCTTCTTTTCTATCATGGCGGATCGCAAGCAACTTTAAGCTGCATACCGCCACCTACTGTTCATAAGTGTGTAGCAACATTGTTTTACATCTATTAAATTCTATTTTTTAATTTTGTACTCTGAAGATAACTAAATAATGCTTTCCTTAATCTATAAATATCCTTTATATTTCCTTTATTTCCCAATAGACTCCATTCTTGGCCTTTCCTTTCAACTATTCTTCTCATTTTCTCCCTTTCAGGTTAATTTGTTTTACAGTTCATCAATACATAAGCATTCGTTCCAAATACTACATCCTGTTAAATGAAAAAAAATAAAAATACAATCAGGAAAATCAAACAACTCTTGCAGTTATTTGGTCAACACTCCTAACCATTTGATGGACAGAAGATAGAACTATAAAATTCAACCATACTTGAACCTGAAATATCCTCCTTATTTTTCTTTTAAAACAGCAAATTTAAATCCATGTCAATAGCAGGTAAAAGAGATGGATGAGGCAATAATCTAATAACTGTTTTACTGAAGTTTATTTCAGATAATTCCAGATATTTTATAGTATTATCTTCTGTCCATCAAATGGTTAGGAGTGTTGACCAAATAACTGTAAGAGTTGTTTGATTTTCCTGATTGTGTTTTTATTTTATTTTTCATTTAACTGGATGTAGTATTTGGAACAAATGCTTACGTATTAATGAACTGTAAAACATATGAACCTGAAAGGGAGAAATTGAGAAGACTAGTTGAAAGGACAGGCCAAGAATGGAGTCTTTAAGGATCATTGGGAAATAAAGGAAATATGAAGGATATTTATTG